ACTGGTTTGCGTGTTTGTCAGTGTGTAAATCACTGGTTGTCACGGTTATAACACCTGCATGTTGGGTGAACTGGTTTGCATGTTTGTCAGTGTGTAAATCACTGGTTGTCACGGTTATAACGCCTGCATGTTGGGTGAACTGGTTTGCGTGTTTGTCAGTGTGTAAATCACTGGTTGTAACGGTTATAACACCTGCATGTTGGGTGAACTGGTTTGCGTGTTTGTCAGTGTGTAAATCACTGGTTGTCACGGTTATAGCACCTGCATGTTGGGTGAACTGGTTTGCGTGTTTGTCAGTGTGTAAATCACTGGTTGTCACGGTTATAACACCTGCATGTTGGGTGAACTGGTTTGCATGTTTGTCAGTGTGTAAATCACTGGTTGTCACGGCTATAACGCCTGCATGTTGGGTGAACTGGTTTGCATGTTTGTCAGTGTGTAAATCACTGGTTGTCACGGTTATAACACCTGCATGTTGGGTGAACTGGTTTGCATGTTTGTCAGTGTGTAAATCACTGGTTGTCACGGCTATAACGCCTGCATGTTGGGTGAACTGGTTTGCGTGTTTGTCAGTGTGTAAATCACTGGTTGTAACGGTTATAACACCTGCATGTTGGGTGAACTGGTTTGCGTGTTTGTCAGTGTGTAAATCACTGGTTGTCACGGTTATAACACCTGCATGTTGGGTGAACTTGTTTGCATGTTTGTCAGTGTGTAAATCACTGGTTGTCACGGTTACAACACCTGCATGTTGGGTGAACTGGTTTGCATGTTTGTCAGTGTGTAAATCACTGGTTTTACGGCTATAACACCTGCATGTTGGGTGAACTGGTTTGCGTGTTTGTCAGTGTGTAAATCACTGGTTGTAACGGTTATAACACCTGCATGTTGGGTGAACTGGTTTGCATGTTTGTCAGTGTGTAAATCACTGGTTGTCACGGCTATAACGCCTGCATGTTGGGTGAACTGGTTTGCGTGTTTGTCAGTGTGTAAATCACTGGTTGTAACGGGGTTAACGCCTGCATGTTGGGTGAACTGGTTTGCATCTTTGTCAGTGTGTAAATCACTGGTTGTCACGGCTATAACGCCTGCATGTTGGGTGAACTGGTTTGCGTGTTTGTCAGTGTGTAAATCACTGGTTGTCACGGTTATAACACCTGCATGTTGGGTGAACTGGTTTGCATGTTTGTCAGTGTGTAAATCACTGGTTGTCACGGTTATAACACCTGCATGTTGGGTGAACTGGTTTGCGTGTTTGTCAGTGTGTAAATCACTGGTTGTCACGGCTATAACGCCTGCATGTTGGGTGAACTGGTTTGCATGTTTGTCAGTGTGTAAATCACTGGTTGTCACGGTTATAACACCTGCATGTTGGGTGAACTTGTTTGCATGTTTGTCAGTGTGTAAATCACTGGTTGTCACGGTTACAACACCTGCATGTTGGGTGAACTGGTTTGCATGTTTGTCAGTGTGTAAATCACTGGTTGTCACGGGGTTAACGCCTGCATGTTGGGTGAACTGGTTTGCATGTTTGTCAGTGTGTAAATCACTGGTTGTCACGGCTATAACGCCTGCATGTTGGGTGAACTGGTTTGCATGTTTGTCAGTGTGTAAATCACTGGTTGTCACGGTTATAACACCTGCATGTTGGGTGAACTGGTTTGCATGTTTGTCAGTGTGTAAATCACTGGTTGTCACGGTTATAACACCTGCATGTTGGGTGAACTGGTTTGCATGTTTGTCAGTGTGTAAATCACTGGTTGTCACGGTTACAACACCTGCATGTTGGGTGAACTGGTTTGCATGTTTGTCAGTGTGTAAATCACTGGTTGTCACGGTTATAACGCCTGCATGTTGGGTGAACTGGTTTGCGTGTTTGTCAGTGTGTAAATCACTGGTTGTAACGGTTATAACACCTGCATGTTGGGTGAACTGGTTTGCGTGTTTGTCAGTGTGTAAATCACTGGTTGTCACGGTTATAGCACCTGCATGTTGGGTGAACTGGTTTGCGTGTTTGTCAGTGTGTAAATCACTGGTTGTCACGGTTATAACACCTGCATGTTGGGTGAACTGGTTTGCATGTTTGTCAGTGTGTAAATCACTGGTTGTCACGGCTATAACGCCTGCATGTTGGGTGAACTGGTTTGCGTGTTTGTCAGTGTGTAAATCACTGGTTGTCACGGTTATAACACCTGCATGTTGGGTGAACTGGTTTGCATGTTTGTCAGTGTGTAAATCACTGGTTGTCACGGCTATAACGCCTGCATGTTGGGTGAACTGGTTTGCGTGTTTGTCAGTGTGTAAATCACTGGTTGTCACGGTTATAACACCTGCATGTTGGGTGAACTGGTTTGCGTGTTTGTCAGTGTGTAAATCACTGGTTGTCACGGTTATAACACCTGCATGTTGGGTGAACTTGTTTGCATGTTTGTCAGTGTGTAAATCACTGGTTGTCACGGTTACAACACCTGCATGTTTGGTGAACTGGTTTGCATGTTTGTCAGTGTGTAAATCACTGGTTGTCACGGCTATAACACCTGCATGTTGGGTGAACTGGTTTGCGTGTTTGTCAGTGTGTAAATCACTGGTTGTAACGGTTATAACACCTGCATGTTGGGTGAACTGGTTTGCATGTTTGTCAGTGTGTAAATCACTGGTTGTCACGGCTATAACGCCTGCATGTTGGGTGAACTGGTTTGCGTGTTTGTCAGTGTGTAAATCACTGGTTGTAACGGGGTTAACGCCTGCATGTTGGGTGAACTGGTTTGCATCTTTGTCAGTGTGTAAATCACTGGTTGTCACGGCTATAACGCCTGCATGTTGGGTGAACTGGTTTGCGTGTTTGTCAGTGTGTAAATCACTGGTTGTCACGGTTATAACACCTGCATGTTGGGTGAACTGGTTTGCATGTTTGTCAGTGTGTAAATCACTGGTTGTCACGGTTATAACACCTGCATGTTGGGTGAACTGGTTTGCATGTTTGTCAGTGTGTAAATCACTGGTTGTCACGGCTATAACGCCTGCATGTTGGGTGAACTGGTTTGCATGTTTGTCAGTGTGTAAATCACTGGTTGTCACGGTTATAACACCTGCATGTTGGGTGAACTGGTTTGCGTGTTTGTCAGTGTGTAAATCACTGGTTGTCACGGTTTTAACACCTGCATGTTGGGTGAACTGGTTTGCGTGTTTGTCAGTGTGTAAATCACTGGTTGTCACGGTTATAACACCTGCATGTTGGGTGAACTGGTTTGCATGTTTGTCAGTGTGTAAATCACTGGTTGTCACGGCTATAACGCCTGCATGTTGGGTGAACTGGTTTGCGTGTTTGTCAGTGTTTAAATCACTGGTTGTAACGGGGTTAACGCCTGCATGTTGGGTGAACTGGTTTGCATGTTTGTCAGTGTGTAAATCACTGGTTGTCACGGCTATAACGCCTGCATGTTGGGTGAACTGGTTTGCGTGTTTGTCAGTGTGTAAATCACTGGTTGTAACGGGGTTAACGCCTGCATGTTGGGTGAACTGGTTTGCGTGTTTGTCAGTGTGTAAATCACTGGTTGTCACGGCTATAACGCCTGCATGTTGGGTGAACTGGTTTGCGTGTTTGTCAGTGTGTAAATCACTGGTTGTAACGGGGTTAACGCCTGCATGTTGGGTGAACTGGTTTGCATGTTTGTCAGTGTGTAAATCACTGGTTGTCACGGCTATAACGCCTGCATGTTGGGTGAACTGGTTTGCGTGTTTGTCAGTGTGTAAATCACTGGTTGTAACGGGGTTAACGCCTGCACGTTGGGTGAACTGGTTTGCGTGTTTGTCAGTGTGTAAATCACTGGTTGTAACGGGGTTAACGCCTGCATGTTCGGTGAACTGGTTTGCATGTTTGCCAACCCTAACCCTAACCCTAGTGGCTAGCGGCTGGGAAAACGGCATCAATGGATACTTTATTAGAGGCTGTGTTGACGACTGCATCAAATGTAGGTTTGTCATATGCGTCAATAACATTTTACAGAATTTTGAGAAAATGCTGCATCATCAATGTGCATATTTTACTGCATAGCCTGATGACACATATTACACAAGTGCAACTACCATCATAGATAGATGATAAACATACTCCCTTGACACGCATTGATAACATCACCCTCGTCATTGAACTTTCTGACTTTTCATGCAATAGACTATATACAGTGTACTGGAAGATGCTGCATAATTAATATTTGTTTTTCCCGAATGGATTTAATCAGAATATGTAATTTTGAAATGATTTGAGTGTTTAACAAATTCTGTAAAAGGGAAATTTAGTATAGTTGTTAATACATTAAAACAATGACATATTAATATTAACATTCCCTGCTCGATAGGCATAACACCTGCATTCATTACACATATTTATGAACTTTCCTTCTGGACTGAACTATTCTTGGTATCCGCAACATGAGACATTTAAAAAAGGAATAATAACATTATACAAACCGTGCACCTTACATGTGAGTGAGTGAGTTGGGTTAAACGTTGCTTTTGACAGTATTCCAGTTATATCACGGCGTGTCAGATTAATCTGTGAGGAAGTGATACATGTCTCAAATAATTACTACTTTGGAGAAACCCAAGAGCACGGGCTTGGTGCTGAAAAACCTAGAGACATAACCGGAATGAACCAGGATTCGAACCCACGATCAAAGATTTCTGCTGTGCCCAAGGGATGCATTGCGGCGCCTTGGATGACTGACACCATCATGATAAGACATGATTAAAAGTTAACTAAATTGTTACTCTTCCCACCATCTCCTTCCCCGCAGAGAGACCATATGATTCTCAAATCATAAATTCTCTTTAAATATTAACTTACTACTTAAGCTAAATGTTTAATAACAATACATCACCTCACAAATGAGTCATCCACACATGTACACTGAAACGATTCTAATTAGTTCACGTGCTAATTCCGGCAAACTTCCGGCCATGACCTTGTGACCCGTGCTTTATGGCATGTGTCGCGCGAGCAGACGACACAGTAGACGATAACTAGCAATGGAGAGTGGTCGTGTTTTCATCGCTGTTGCGGGTGTTTGGGCATTATTTGTGACAGCACATGCAGCAAAACCCTATCCCATCGATGACAGTACTGGGTATGGACGGACCTTTGATGGGATCGGCGGTATTAGCGGTGGAGGGGTAAGTTTTCCGTTGTTCTGGAAGGGGCGGTGTAACAGTGGCTTCCATTACTCTAGTTGCCTGATGCCGGGAGTCACATGGAGAAAGCTGATATTAGACGTCCTTGGTTTCAGTGAGATCTTATTCTAGATTAAGGGAGTAAATGTAAATGTTTACTGTCTGTGAATTCATCCGCTTCACTGTATTTAATATCGACTGCCTCAGTGGTCTAATGTTAGAGAGTCTGCCCAGAGAGAGAGGAAGGTCGGGGGTTTGATCCCCGGACGTGTCATACCAACAGACGTTCAGACGTTAAAAGATGGTACTTGTTGTTACCCTCTCTGGCGCTTGGTTCGGAGTACACTGTGTCTGAGTGGGATGTTCATGTTTAACTGCGGCATAGTGGGCTAGCACTAAAAAAAAATAGTCTGGACTTGTGCAAGCAGCCACACACGCACGCACGCACACACACACACACACACACACACACACACACACACACACACACACACACACACACACACACACACACACACACACACACACACACACACACACGTGCATCTACGTCGCTATACAAGTGCAATTATCTCAAAACGTTGCACCCCATTTCACTTCACTTCACACGAGTAATTTACATGTACAGTATACTGCTGGGACTTGACGCCGAGCTCAGCTACTTATACTGAAGGAAGTATTGCTGTGACATAGTATAAATCTTAATATCTCAAGTACTATGACTGTTTGCAAACACACCCATGCTATCTTCAGATGATTTTATACCATAGGATAACGTTTGTCTGTGTAACTAGGGGACACGGGTGGCCAAGTCGCCTAAGGCGCCGGGATTCGCTGTGCAGAGTTGCGTCCCTTGGGCACGCCAGAAACCCATCATCATTGTTCGAATCCCGGTTCGACCCGATTATGTTTCTAGGTTTGTCAGCACCATACCCGGGCTTGTGGGTTTCACCAAGCTGGTAAACGTCTCAGACCTGCATCACTTCGGGCTTTCCTCCCATATTAAGCTGTCACGCCGTGATATGACTGGAATACTGTTAAAGGCGGCGTTAAATACAACTCAACTCAACTCAACTCAACTCAACTCAACTGTATAACTAACTGCCTGATAGCGATTCAACCTTCAAGTATACATCGATTAACTCCAAGTCAAATATGTTGCCTCTGGTATGAAGTTTTATCAGTCTAAGAAAAAGTTAAATGGTGCCAAAGGTAGGACCTGAAAATTACATGTGTGGAATTCTCTCAAACTATGTCACTGACCCTCTCGTTCCCCTCCCTCAGGCTACATCTAAGCTGCTGGTGAACTACCCACAACCTTACAGGGACCAAGTACTGGACTTTCTTTTCAAGGTGACAAAATGCCTTGACAGTTCTTATAACGTGTATCAGTTATTTTGACATTATTGAACTACATACAAAATTAACGTTTCTGTACTTTTTTAAATGTTAACCGTCAGTCATACTTTCTCTGTATACATCTTAAATACGTATATATCCACAAATGCAACAATATTGTATTAATAGTTGTATAAAAGAGATGACATTTTCTGTAAGATTGTAATATATTATTTCACTTGATCCTGACTCAAAATTCAGGATATTTAGCTTTTCACTGGTAAGACTGGGGGAGGGTTTTGTCGGGGTTATGAAATTATAGAGCCTGTCAAATAGGTAATACTACCAATGGTTAGTTTGTTTGTTTGTTGGATGGCTAGTTAAAATGAACTTCTCTTTACAGCCCAATTTTGGAGCAGCGCTGCAGATACTGAAAGTTGAGATAGGAGGCGATGCTTGCAGTACAGGTAGGTGCCTTAAAAGTAATTATCCTTCAAAATATAAAATATCGTTCAGTGCATCTCATGCTAGACATGCGGAAACGTTGGATACTCTAAAACTAAAACTACGAATTTGTTGATATGTGATAACCGATATCATATATATCTTAACAGATGGTTCAGAGGCGTCCCACATGCACAACAGCTGGGAGGAGAACTACCAGAGAGGATATGAGTGGTGGCTCATGTTGGAGGCGAAGAAGGTCATAATCCTCTCGTAAACGTTGAAACTGCTATTAATAAGCTTAAAATACCCTTTATCGAGCGTAATGACCGAAACAGATATCACCATCAAGCCCTGTGTGGTTCGTCGTTGTTCAAAGATGTTATTTCCTATTTGAGTAACCCAATGAAACGTATCAATAGTTCCCGGCTCACAGGTTTGACTCTCACGTCCCTAACTTTAACCTAAAATCAATGTGGAATGTAACCAGACCTAGAAGTAAAATCATTTTTAATTTGTGTTGTTATTTTCAGAGAAATCCCAACATAAAGTTGTACGGTCTACCTTGGGCGTTCCCTGGCTGGGTAGGGGGACCTACCCGAGACAACCCCTGGACCGACCCAGAAAGACCTGCTTACTATGTGCTCAACTGGCTTAGGGGAGCTAAAGCTGTCCATAATCTCACCATAGACTATCTTGGGGTTCGTTTTTACTTTTTTTAGGACAGTCACAATCGTTTTGTCTTTCCTATTTTCAAGTTTTCTTATTTTGTCATCATTATGCATGTTATTTTAACTGAAAATAATTTATATATTCATCATGTGAAAGCTGCGTTATGTTGTTACAATGAAAACAAAGGATATAACGTAACATCAAAGAAATCATTATCCTTTTATAGTTGCTCACACGACATAGAAAAGCCATAGGCAATGACAATTGTGTGTTTGTTCGTGAAGCATTATTTAATCCTTTCTCTGTTCTAGATTTGGAATGAACGTATGTACAGCATTCCCTACATCAAGGTAAGGACTTAACTGATTTCAAACAGTGGACGAAACTATTAACTTGCTTTAAAAGGGTCAAGCCGTGCAACGTATTCACATTTTGTGTATCCAGCTACTACGGAAGACTCTTGACGACAACGGCTTCAGCAACGTGAAGATCGTCGGTGCTGACAAGAAGTGGGAGATTGCTGATGATATCCTTCAAGACGAGGAACTCGGGGCCGCCGTCGAAAATATCGGGTAATGGTAGACCTATGAAAATCATATCCTGCTCAGTATAATGAATAAAAATTCATGCCACGTCGCAGTTTCATAATTTCATAGATTAACAGACTGACATTTTGTCACGACAATGATATGGCATGTAATCAACATTGGCAACCGTGACTCTGATGTTTTGGGCTAACAATGTTCTTAATGGTGTTCAGTGCTTAGAATGACCACAGGAAGATTAATTGTGTTATGTTCTACTACAAACAAACACGCCCCAGTTTACTGTTTTAAATATTCTAACACTCAAGGTTTTTTCTGATTCCCGCCAGGTGTCACTACCCGGGCACATTCTCCGACCCCTCCGCCATGAAGACCGGCAAGCAGCTGTGGGCCTCAGAAGACTACAGCACCTTTAACGACAACGTCGGGGGTGGATGCTGGGGGAGGGTAGGTATTGTGATGGAGAAGTATCGTGGCGAATCGGTCAAATGTTTACCTATTATTAATGGAATACGACTGAGGTAGGCGAAGGTTGAACAGGGAGCACAGACCATTCCGAAGGGAATCATTAATGTCAGGATGACAAGGCGCTCACTCTCTCTCTCTCTCTCTCTCTCTCTCTCTCTCTCTCTCTCTCTCTCTCTCTCTCTCTCTCTCTCTGCGATCGTTTCGTAGCAGAAATGTGAAAACTGCTGAAAACAGAAACCTAATTTAGATATTCTGTAGCTTCGTCGCAATCACTGTCAAACATAAATATTACTTTCACACTTTTTATTTGAATAAAGGTACTGATTGACTCTGATTTTCCAGATTCTCAACATGAACTATGTCAATGGGAACATGACAGCGTAAGTTGTGTTCATAATTGACTAATATCTGAAATCAATTGCAGGTCCATCTTTGAGTATTTGTTTTTTAATAGCACATATTTTAGTTTTACTGCCTTTTACTGTGATCCTTTCTAAATAGGACACAGGACAAATAGTTCACAGTTATGATAATGGATGCATAATACAGTATTAACCACCGAGAGTCATCATGAATGAGGATTCTATAAGTTATAGAAATACAAATTTAAATACATATCCACAGAATATCCCCATTTTGCTTCAAAAGGAATTTCAGTCACGGACCGTTACTTTTCATCCTCATGTTTCAGAACAATATCTTGGAACGCTATAGCCAGCTACTACAACCCCCTGCCGTGGTTCAGGACTGGGTTGATGACGGCAGTAGAACCATGGACCGGAAACTACGCCGTTGAGAGCCCCATCTGGATAACTGGTCAGTGTTAACATAAGTTGATGGTGCGAAGGAAAAACATGCAGTGACTGCGGTTGTTTTATCATGTTACTAAACGTGTTCCTGCTATGTGGCGTACCTTCACTTGTGTCAGTAGTCAATCCTCACGAGAGCAAACATGACCTGAACTGCCATCTATCAAGGTATATAACTCACTGTAAAACAGGACATGTCTGTTGTATACCTCCCCATTTATGTCCCAAAATGAACATATGTGATAGACACATTCGATGAATGTTCTTTTCAAAGTATGTTTGCTTTTCTATGGAAGGTTCGCCTAGGCCCGGCACCTAGGGCGGCGTAAAACTCAACTCCACCCCTCACTATTTGCCTCTTATCCATGATACACGACGTAAACCTCACCTTACCCCCTCACTATTTGCCTCTTATCCATGATACACGACGTAAACCTCACCTTACCCCCTTACTATTTGCCTCTTATCCATCATTCACGACGTAAACCTCACCTTACCCCCTTACTATTTGCCTCTTATCCGTCATACACGACGTAAACCTCACCTTACCCCCTTACTATTTGCCTCTTATCCATCATTCACGACGTAAACCTCACCTTACCCCCTTACTATTTGCCGCTTATCCGTCATACTAGACGTAAACCTCACCTTACCCACTTACAATTTGCCTCTTATCCGTCATACACGACGTAAACCTCACCTTACCCCCTCACTATTTGCCTCTTATCCGTCATACACGACGTAAACCTCAACTTACCCCCTCACTATTTGCCTCTTTTCCAGCCCACACGACGCAGTTCACGGAGATCGGATGGAGATATCTCCGTCACGGCGCCGGAGTTGGAAATTTCACCGGAGGAGGAAGCTACGTTTCTCTGGTCAGCCCTGATGGCAAAGACCTCACTATTGTCATAGAAACCATGGTGAGAGATCAGTTATATTACAATAACTTTCCCTCACTGTGGTGTTATGTTGTTGTTTTTAAAACTTTGATATTTCTTTTTGTTGTTTCAACCGATTTCTACGATATTATGTCAAAAGCAGTGGGCACGTGCAATTGTAGATTGACATTTATTATTTCATTTTGATATTTTCTCTCCTGGCGTATTGGGTGAACACATAGAGATCGAGGTTCACGCTATCAACCACTGGTTTGTCTGATCAAGAGCGATAATTCAATCAAACACGATGAAAGAGCCCCATTTACACACTCATTGTTTATCTTTCTTTGTTCCCCCAGAGCCACGACCACTCCATCTGTGTCCGGCCTCCCCTGGAGCCCTACAACGTCACCAAGCAAAGAGTGACGTTCCAGCTCAAGGGCAGCTTTGTAAGTGTTTGTTGAATTCGCGCTTCAAAGAAACGGATTCGTCAATCGAATTGACAGAAATATCAACGAAGACGAAATACGCAGACGCAATCTCAGGATGGTGTTTATATATAGTAAATCACAAAATGTGTATTCCAATCACAATGAAAATGTGTGTTGTTATATTACCCTGACGTTTCCTTAAGGAATCATTTATAATCAGTGAGTTACCCACAAGTTGTAAATGCTATTTCACAATGTATTTCTTGCAGGCTTCCATAACTTCTCTGAACATGTGGTACAGTAGATTGTTCAATGGCGCGGTCAATGTTACAGGCACGATGTTCGAGAGACAGGCACCGCTGAAGGTGAGAACACTCTATTCGTATGACAGTAAACTCAATTTGTATTTTAGCTTACATCGATGTCAAGGAAGTCAGTGGCACTCTTTATAAGGGTGAGCTCCCTTTGAAAGGGTAGTGATTGAATTATGACAAAACTTTGCAATGTTTGTGTTTCAATCTGAGGTCCTAGTGTAGCTTTTTCCGTTAGCAGTTATAACAAAATGTCCCACTGAACTGAATTAGCTTCTGACTTAATGATCGAATTTATAAATTTCACACTAATCAAAGTTTCCATGAAGTGATCTCAGCTAGCATTGATCGACGCATTACTGATCGAATTTATAATTTCACACAAGTAAGCTTATGAAGTTTATAAATGCCATGCATGTTATTATAATGTAATGTCAATAAAATCTCTTGTTAATCCAATGTCGTTCTTAGCGGGGATTAAGGATTGACATATGTTGTGTAGGTTGTGAATGGGATGGTGCAGCTAGATGTAGCTGTGGATGAAGCCATTACGCTAACGACCGTGTCAGGGGGACAGAAAGGGTCCTACCCTCCCCCGCCTTCATCTCAACCCTTCCCGAGCACCTACAACGACGACTTTGAAGGTAACAATGCAGATTAGAGTAAGAGTATATGTCGGGGAAAGATATTGTGTGCAGCTATACATTTTCCATAAAAACCACTATATCAGTCATTTACTCAAATCTCGTGTTGAACAGGTTACCCTGAACACATGGAGCCCAACAACCTGGCACAACAGACCGGGTCGTTTGAGATCATTGACGTGGGTTCCCCACACAACAAGGTGGTGAGGCAGATGGTTCTCTCACAGCCTGTACACTGGTGTAAGGCAGAGGGGCGCACTAACAGGTCTATCAATCTCATTGGCAACTACAACTGGTACGGTTTTAATATTATAAGTTTTTTGGCTTTTGACGAGGGAAATACAGTTTAATGCACCTTTTGAGTGGCCGTGTACCCGGCGTCGCCTCTCTCAAAGTACACAGCTACACTGTTTATCATTTACTACAATTGAAAGTGAGATGCAAAACTTTTGTTAGGCGCCATATTACAAAACGCCAATGTCTATAATTATAGTACATGGAATTTAATCAAAATGTCATTGACCAGCGCAATTGAAGTATTTAATGTGTAAGGTGAGATCAAATATATTTTCCATAACCATGTTTTTATACGCTTTTACTACAGTAGTGAATATTATATATCATATATTATATGAATAGGTTTAACAGAAACACCTCATGGTTATTTTAAAATCACCTCTATTCGAGATTTTGACATGTGGAATATTTATGTTGCCTCTCTGAAGACAAACATTATCTTTTCTTAGATGTAAAGTACTCTAATACGAAGAATGCTTGATTCTGATTGGGTAAAAGGAGTATTCTTTTTCCTACTGATGTCTCTTAAAATAAGCCTTTTCACAAGCAAACCGAGCGTATGAAAACAACAATCTTGTTTATACATTTGGAACCTTGACTTTAGATGTACGTGATACAAAAAGTCTGAACATCAACAAATTGTTGTCTGGCAAAATGACTGAAAACAAATCCTTCGCCTTTGTACAGCTGGGTCTCATGAGTTGTTTGGGGCACCTACAGAAATACAACAGACATTACAAAATACCCATGGTTCATTAATCCGGAAACTCTGGAACATTTTGGATTAATAGTTTCACTGTAGAATAGTGACAGACATATATCCTACTGCCGAGGGTATGGTCAGGGTTAGAATTTGGAAAGACCAACATAAGACAAGGAGACAAGTACCAATTGTTCCTCTGGTCCTCCAGGACAGATGTAACTGTCCAGATGGACGCCAAAGTCGGGGAAGTGAACGGCTCTAGCGGCTACTTTGTGGCTGCCCGTGTGGACAGAGGTGGTGGAGAGTCAGACCAAGCAGAGGGTATCTTCCTGTATATCTTCCCCAACAAAAGTAAATACCATCTAAGCGGGGACTTTGGTGAGTTAATACAGTGGTTTGTATATGATATTTTTTATACATCTCTACAAAGTGTTCCTACCAACCTTGTGGTTTCTGACTCCAAACTGAGCTCGACGGCCTGGTGGTAAAAGTGTTCGCTGGTTCTTCTCCACAAGGGTTCACCTGGCATGTTCTGGCTGCCCCCGATGTAACATTTATGTCAATTCGTTAAAAAGATGAAATCCCAACCCACAATCGGTATCAGCTACACATTGTTAGGTTTTTTAGATACGTTATGTGTATGTGTATGTGTACGTTATGACATTTTCGGTAATAACGTCATCGCTATGAAAGGTACATGGTTGAAAAAGAATCCACAGAGTTTTAGAAGCTTTATAATATTCTTAGTTGCTTTCGTCAAAAAACATAACTGCTTATAATCTTTATGTCGATGACTGCAGAACACAAGAAGGGCATAACGGAAGGTGAACTACCATCCAGCAACAGTGACTGGAACAACGTAATGCTGACTGTGCAGGTTAGTCGAGTCCCACAGTTCCTACCTTCTGGTAGCTTTATTATTATTTCCTTTTGTCTACATACACCTGTTTGTGGTTTCGGGTATTTTCCACAATGAATGCAGTACACTTACAGGTTGGGCGTTGTAATGAGTGAGTGAGTGAGTTGGGTTTTACGCTGCTTTGAACAGTTTTCCAATTATACCACGGCGTGTCATCTTTATCTGGGAGGAAAGCCCAAAGTTGTGCAGGTCTCCGACGTTTACCACTTTGGTAAAACCCACAAGCGCGGGTATGGTGCTGACAAACCTAGAAACATAGTCGGGGCGAACCGGGATTCGAACCCTCCCTCATAGGTGTGAATTGCGGCGCCTTAGACCACTTGGCTCCTGCTGAGCGTTGTAATACATGTCACGTCATTCTTTGGAGGTCCTGCTGTCACAAACAAACAAACCTACGATGGATTTAAATGTTTTTACTCGATAATAGCACAGACTTGTTCATAAAGAGATTATGCATGGGTTTTTTTTATTTCAGGGAGGAACCGCATCTGGCACATATAACAACCAGAAACTGTTCAACGTGTCTATTCCTGCCAATCCCAAGTATGGATTTGTGGCGATTGGCACCGATTCCTGGGGAATTGTGGACTATGACAATCTGATGATTAAGGCAAAACCAGTCGCAAATCTACGCCAGAAACCGAAGGATAATACATTGTATTACAAACCAAAAGCATAATAAAAATAATAATAATAATAACAATAATAATTTTGATTTCATATACATTTATTTGTTAATTACATTTGATAAATGCTCATATTTAATAAAAGTTGGGACAACATGTTTTGCGTCTTCTCCTTTTATACATGTGAGGCAATTTTTAAAACTGCCCATATTCCACATCCTCCATTTGTGTAAACTGCTCTGAGTGATAGAGAAGAATCCTACTGAGAGTGAAACCCTTTGCGCAATATTTCTAGTCACCCAGTCAACATGGTTACCATTGCATCGGGCTCGGTCATCACAGATATAGGCCACTGACGTCTTCATCATAACTGGAAGGACATTGTAGATATCGATACGTATTCGGCTGATTCATGTCAAGGGCAGTAAACCCACTCCCGGTAATTAGCACTTGTATGTGAATGAATACTATAAGTTTGCTGTACGATCCAGTTCGTGTTAATGCTGACTCAGATCCTCGATAACAGGTCGAGAAATATGACAGATAATAGTTTTATCTAAGTGCAAAGTGCTGATGACATACCATATCGCTGACATACATACATTAAATACATACATATACACGTTATCAAAACATTTCATCAGACCCACGAACCAAGGCCCTTCCGAAATTACTTTTATCACCTGCTTATGACATAGCAACAGCCTGGATCGCTTTTGGAAAAGTTATTGAGACACGATTTCATAATGATTACACACAAAACGTATCGAAAGCTTCATGAATATCTACATTAGAAATATAAACAAACATTCCAACCATAACACTTACAGTACACCGCCATGTGAGAATTGTAAATGCGAGGAGTGATCGTGACATTGTAAGTTTAATATTTTACACAAGTTTTGATATCTTCCCTGTCAGTCAAGTATGTTTCACTTCAAATCATTAACAATTACATAATGAGTCGAAGCCCCGATAGCCTGCACATTATACGACACTATACAGCCTGCTATATTCCCGTGTCCTACCCGTGCTGGTTCAATTGGCTGGCTGTATCAGCACGTCCCCAAACCAACAAAGCCATTAGCCGGGCCCCTGGGCAGCTGCACATGCAGAAGGCTGACGATGAACGTCGCGTCAGCATAGTTTTACTGTAACAAGACATTTCTTTGACACCGACATCTATATCACGACGACCGGTTATATAATCGTGTCATGGCCAGGCTAACCAGTGTCGTTTTGACCTCTGGTGGCGTCATCCTATTCCTTTCGTAGAATAACCTCTTAGCTTGGACTTTCTACAGAATACCCCTCGATCCCCACAGAAAGTCCATATGTCCCAGGGCTATTCTATAGGGATATCCCATATCCCAATCTACATAACACACACGACACGTAATTAACGTGAGTTCTAGAGAGCGGGTATTTTTTTCAGAACTCAGATCATAATTGTTGTAAATAGAAAGCTCATCCTCCATTTGCTTGAAAACTACAGCCTCAATAAAAAGTCTCGATGGCAATATGAAAATATATTCTATGAGCAAAGCCATAATCTTTGACACCAAGCTATGAGCATGAGAGACAGTATGCCTGTAACACTTATAAAAACAGTTTATTGCAATGACCTAAACTGACGAGCAAAATAAACGCTACCAACCAACGTGGTCAATGAACATACTTGTATTGTCAAAAGACATGAATTGACAACATCATTACAAGTCATGCATTGAATGAGAACAAAAATGAAGGTATTCTGTCCACCATTTGGAGAATGGAGTCAGTTGTTCAGTAATCGATCAACCATCAAGACTGAAATCAGCATATGGAACTCGCTTTAATCCTACAGAATGTCACAAATGTCAGTCAATATCGTGTATGCCCACCACGGTCATCAATGCACGCCCCAACTCAACGACGGGCAGAAGGTGTGAAACGTCTGATCAAATGGGATTTGACGACATTCGTCTCGGAGGGTCTGTGCTTACTGATTCTTGTTATGAGGGCGACCTGTTCGTGTTCTGTTTGATGGCCTAACTGTTCGTTAGGTGATCGTACTCGCCAAGGCAAGACGTTGTATTGGGCCTTGTGTTATCGTGCTGAAACAGGATCCGGGGAATCTGTTGCAAGAACGGTAGTACAACAGGGTAGAGAGATTGGTCAATGTTATGCTGTCCAGTTCGTTCCAAAATCACCACAACTGTATTGACGTCGCCACCGGTGCCCCGTTGATTTGGCTAATGATGCGGCACTGACTTGGCATCAGTACTACCTTCAACTGGCTACAGATGCCACCACCTCCAAACGGTTCAACATCTTGATCGCAACAACGTGACGTTCGTTCTCCTCGTCGGCGGTAAACTGCTCTGAAAAGCTGTTATCTGCTCTCTCCTGTGATCATGACTCTTTGCCAGTTTCTTTTCGAGCCAATCAATGTCGGTGTTCCGGTGTCAGCGTTACGTCTCGTCGTGGTCCTTCAGCTCTGATATCGTACCAACGCAGTCTCCTGAATGGCGCAGCTAATGAAGTCGTGGTAATAATACGATTCCCCAGAAGGAGGATAATTGTGTAGCGTTTTCCTGGGTGGTGGTGACAGGAGGTCTGCCATTCTTAGGCCTGTCTTTCCGATCCGCATGCCTGTAACATGCCACGCACCTGGCGACTGTCTTTCGGCTACAACCGAAACTCCCAGCGACGTGGTCATGTGTTGTTCCTTGATGTATCCTACCAATAGCTTGTTCTCTCTGTTGTAGTGAAGCGTTAATCTTAGCCCACTGAGATACCATGCCGCAGTTTAACATGAATACCCGACTCAGACAAGGTACACTGACTCCAAGCCGACCAGTCCAGTCCTTGATTAAGCCCGTCAATGCCGAGCACCAGACAGGGTAACAACAAGTACCATCTTTTAACGTCTTTTGGTATGACCTGGCCGGGGATCGAACCCCGGACCTTCAACTCTCCTAGCGGACGCTCTACCACTAGAGGGGGCACGGGTGGCCCAGTCGTCTAAGGCGCCGCGATTCGCTGTGCAGAGTTGCGTCCCTTGAGCACGCCAGAAACCTATGATTGTGGGTTCGAATCCCGGTTCGCCCCGATAATGTTCTTAGAATTGGCAGCACCATACCCGTGCTCGTGGATTTCACCGAAAAGGTAAACGTCTAAAACCTGCATCACTTCGGGCTTTCCTCCCACATTAAGCTGACACGCCGCGATATAACTGGAATACTGTTAAAAGCAGCGTTAAACCCAACTCACTCACTCTACCACTAAACCACGGAGGTCAACACAATAAGGGACGTTCTTCTTTGTCACTAGTTGTTTAATCGGTACTATTGCGAGTGAGTGAATGTTGTCAAAGGCCCCAGTCAACAATTTCTAGCTATAACAAGACAATCTTTATATATCCGATCCCAATTTTCACTCGCCCCTTTCCACAAGCATGAGCTACCGGCGCCTATCCTGACAAGTTTGCATTTTTCAGAGCAGAACAACAGCAGAAGGAACGTCCCCAGAGTGTTTGCGAAAAGGGTAAGCATGTCCTGTAGCTATCTTCTTAATGTCACAAAACAATCACATGAAAACAAATAATGATACTCTTTGTTATCATTGTTATACAAATAATGATACCCATCACCCAAGTCATGTTGCGAACACCTGATGTCATCACTAATTTTCAGTCATCCTTTCATGGAATTTTCATAACGTTTTAGCCTTTTACACCCAATGGAATCTGTTTCAACAAATAAGAAAGACTGATTGTTTTCTGGTGTTGAGGGGTTGTTTGCTTACTTGAATTAAGTCGATGTTTCTGCTGGTGGACACTTACGTTCTAGGCACATTGTGTGAGTGGCTGGCGCTACCGGTACAACAGAACACTGTTTGGGAACACCTGGTGTCATCCCGGACTTTCTGTGATCCATTCATATCACTGTTTTACCTTTTACACTGAATAGAATCCGTTTCCACAGATAACCGAGAACGATTATTGTCTGGCGTTGACGCTTTTTATTTCCATAAATTACATATCCTATCAAACTGTTGCGCCATCTACCTGTTTCAGATGGTAAGACATGATAAAAAGTCCTAAACTTTGACAAATCACACCGCCTCCTTCCCCGCAGAGAGATCATATCATTTTCAAGCCATAATTTCTCATTAAATATGATTTTACTGTCCATTCATTAAACTAAATAGTAAACGTCACAGTGAGTGACATCACCACTTTAGCTTAGTATTTATTTACAATACATAACCTCACGCCTGAATCATCTTATTCCTGCAAACCTCCGGCCATGACCTTGTGACCTGTGTCTTGATAACATCACGCGAGCACATGATAACTAACAATGGAGAGTGGTCGTGTTTTCATCGCTGTTGTGGGTGTCTGGGCATTGTTTGTGACAGCACATGAAGCAGCACCCTATCCCATCGATGACAGTACTGGGTATGGACGGACCTTTGATGGGATCGGCGGCATTAGTGGTGGAGGGGTAAGTTCACACTTGTTCGGGAAGGGGCAGCGTGACGGTAGCTTCCATCAGGTTGGGAGTCACATTGAGAAAGCTGGTGTTAGACGTCATTGGTTTCACTGAGATCTTATTCTAGTTTCAGGGGGCAAATGTATAATATACCTTCTGTGAATTCATCCGTTGAAGTGTCTTATCATGAGTAATAACCACACGAATAAGTTCAGGTTGATTCGAAATACTGCCTCTTGTGCTACTATTTGATCTAATTGTTTTACAATCTTAGAAATGCAACTAGTGGTGACACTGTAATCTATATAATATTGTTTTCTTGTTTATTGGCTTTAAAGAGAAAACGTACATTCTGCCGGGGTAGACGCCGAACTAAGCTACTTACAATGTAGGAAGTACTGACCTTAGGATATAGTATAGAGCTTCATATCTCAAGTACTATAACTGTTTATAAAAGAAAACATCATTGCTATCTTAACATGGGTTTATACCAAAGGTAAACGTTTGTCTGTATAACTGACTGGTAGCATTTCGACTTTCAAGTATACATTGATTAACTCCAAGTCACATATGTTGCCTCTTGTGTGAAACTTTATCAGTCCAAGAAAAAGTTAATTAATGCTGACAGTAGGACGTTGAAATTGAATATATTAAATTATAACTCCC